CTCTTACCCAGTTTGCCACACTCAACAAGGGCGTCTCGATGGCTTCTACATCAAAATCCCGAGTCCGATAGTATTCTTCGTCGCGAAATCTGTGTACCGCGGTATCCACAGTCTGGTCTCGTCTGTTCTGTCGAAGGGTGTCTTCATCCAAGTCACCGTCGACGGTATCGTCACCCCAATTTCGGGCGGCTCGGCCGGGCTTCCCGTACTGGTTCGGCGAAACGCCGTTTTCCCACCAAAATTCTGTTCGCGTCCATCTTCATTGACAGATTGTTCTATCGTTATGACGACAGGGCCAGACTCACTAATGAACTTGTCCGATAGGATGCCTCCGTGTCGGACTCTGTCGCGATAGTAGTCGCTCATTCCTTCCCATGGGATCATGGCGGCCAGCCCCTTTGGCTTCCGCGCTGCCACTCGCCATTGTGTGCCAGCGTAGTAGCTAATCCCGAGGAGGCCGACTTTACCAGAAGACCACTCTTGTTCAGAGCACCACTCGACCACGTCAAAAAACGCCTCGCTAGTACCGCGCGACATGGTGTCTAGGAGTCCAGGGCTTTGACCAGCGCCAAGCTCGTCGGCTCTAACCACGATGTATCCTTTGCCTGTCCAGAAGCCTGGGTCCGGAGTCTCCCATGACGCGTGGTGAGATTTCATTTCGGCATTCAACTGATCCCAGCTCTTCTTGTGGAATACGCTGTATGGGACGTCTTTACCATCTTTTCCCCAAGTTAGTGCCTGAAACTCCCTCGAAGATCGTGGATTGTTCACGAATGCTTACATGGTCCATATGTCGCAATCACTGGGTATCTCTCAGGACCAAAGGGCGCAGCGTCCTTGGGCAGATAGACGTTGCATCTCAAAAAACCCTTTTGGTAGGTTCGCAGTGGCAAGTCTACATTTTTCATGAAGACATAGGGGAAACTGTCTTTGTCGACCTCAAGGTACTTGTTTTCCGCCATTTTGTTTGTAGTTTGGACTTAGCTTATGGATGAAGATACTGTGAGTTTGGCAGAATTTCTACGTCGTTGGGTGCTATGTCTACCATTCAATAGACAGACTGGATCTTGTCGTGATTTAGATCCCATGGCATTGTTGTGGTGAGAATATCACCGTCACCAAGAGCTTAGACTCTTGATTCCAAATGCCTTGACCTGCTTTGGTACGCTGTCGGGCCAGGTGGGGTTCAAGGTCTGGCTCGTGTTCGGCTTCTCCACCACAGCTGTCGGTCGGCTCGGGACCACACCAAAGCAAACTTCAGCCCCTGCGGTAAGTCTCGTCGAAGCGATTCGCAATGCCAAGGAATAGATCACTAGAATTCGACGTAAAAAATTTCCTCTTTTTCGTATCTAGGTCGGTGGTTTCTCTTTCAAACTTTTACACGGTCGCTACTTAGCCAGATACCAATCCTCAACGGCGAAATGGCGACTGTCATAGCAACTACCATAAACTCCTCGCGAGCTGAAGAGCTTAGACTTGATTCAGAGACCACGAGGCTCCTCTCTGACTACGAAATCCAACGTTCGATTGCTTCGCCAGGCAACGACCCCGACGAAGATTCTTCTCTAGCCACAGTTGCTGGCGGTGTCCGGCGGGAGCGCCAGCCGGACGATTTTGACCCTACGCTGGCTTCACATCCGCCAGTACCTTATCCAGTGTCAACCCCTGACTGGTGGGATCGTAGCTATCGACGCGTTCCTGATTTTCGTCCAATAAACAGAGAACTCGACTTGAGTGATCGGCAACAAGGAGCAGTTTTCGCTTTTGTCGGTGCAATCATGGTGGGAGGATGCTGGTTCCAGTCGGTGAGTCAATGTTTTGTGCTTCATTATCCATACCTCAGCGTACGATAAAATCCAAAAAGCTAACAGAATTGCAAGGGGTGGTCCTATGTCTGGCGGAATACTGCGGGCAGGATCACCGATATTGGTAAATCAAGAGTAGGGGGAGAGTGGTAGATCAACTTCTTCTTATATTCGCACATCACAGTCGACTGTTTATGGAGCCCACATGTCTGGAATTCTTAGGGCTAGCTCGCAGCCAAATAATATTTGAGCCCGTGGTCGACGATGCATAGCCGGGTCATCTTTCACTATAGAATCTAGACTTGTCGCGATATGCATGACTTGCCCACGACGTGGTTTCATTGAAGTGAGACGATGAACTATTTACTAGAAGATCATAGGAGTTTATGTGGAGTGGAAGCAGAACAATGAACAGAGAGAACTTCAGGGAAAGAATCGACAGACGGCAGGAGGAGCTCGTGTAAGCCCTATGCTTTCGCGTTCAAAACCATTATACGTCTCGGCGGATGGTGTTTTATGTCCGTGGTATTTAAACTTGAGTTTCTCTATTATGATTGCGTCTGTATCCCGAGCATTCAAAGTCATGATTTGTTTTCATTGTTTTGAATTCAGTGCTACTGCAACCTTCTGGAAGCACGATTGATTAATAACAATGTAATTTTCACACATCCTTGTTGAAATTCTTGATAGTCTAGTCCCAGGAACCAAGCTGATATTGGGTGTTGCACATGTTGACTAACTCCCAACATTCCCCCAAGAACATGTGCGGGCCCATATCTTTCTCGTCTCCGGCAGCCCCGGCAGCAAAGAGCGTCGCCATATAGTGATCATCTGTCCCATGCGCCTCTTTGTATCGCGGGTGTTTCATCAATCTTGTGACCGCTCTTCGAAGATCAGGTCCCGTATTTCTCATGATTGCGTCTTCGTGCGCTTGTCGAAACTCCAACGCGAAGGGCTCTGGCGGAACGGGCTGCGCAAAATTGTCTTTGAACCGGATCATCCATTGCCAGTGGTTCCGAAAGAGGTTGTGAACTGAGCCTCCACTGCCAATGATGAGCGTGTTCTGGTAACGCAGAGGACGGAGAGTAGCGCCGATTTTGATATGCAAGTGCGGATCATATCTTGCATTTGCTGAGACCACAGTGACTGGTGGAGGTACGCAGTGAGGAAACATCCGAATGATGATGAGAAAGACATCGTGGATCCAGTCGTACTTGCGGTTCGCCCGAGCATTGATACCGGCTTCCCGCAGCATGCCGATGACCTTCTGGCCTCCCTCTATGTCTGGTACCATTTTGTAAGGCATCCACCTTGAGTCTTTCACGCCTCCTACCGGGTCTTTGCCCGCATTTGGGTTCATGCTCACATCTACGGCATCACCAGGAGCATCCCAATGCGCTCCCTGTAGTATGCGTAGACATATGTCAGCCGTAGCACACGTTTGGGATCGGAGATATTACCATGATTACGATTCTTTCGATCCCACGCCTCAAAACCTCGCCGCCAACACTTTCCCATATATGAGCTGGTTCAGAATCTTCACCAAGCATCATTGTTGATCCATGGGCGAAGAGGAACACCGGAGTGGGTGCTGTTGGGCACACGAGGTCAGTAAATCATGTTTAGGTGAGGACAAGTCCTTCTGCGCCATACCCTTTTCCGCTGGTAGACTGCCCATGCTGGATCATATGAAGGAAGGACACGACTGATGTCCAAAGAGGCGCCGAAACAATGGACTTCAATTTCAGATCATCGAACATATAACAAGAGACAATGTTGGGAGATGCGGGTGGCGTCGTGTTGTCATTTTCTTGGACCAGTCCAATTTACTTCAGTAAACTTGCACTACCCGGTGTTGTTTCCGCACGGTTCCCATAGTCGCCTGGGCGGCGCGTGGAGCCGAGCCGATCTCTCTCTGTGTGAGCTTGCCGATACTCCCAACAGTGACATCACAAAAGCTGCACAAGAAATCCTTTTTGTACGATGTATCGAGAAACATCTTGAAAAACAGCAAGAACTTAGGATCTTTCACACCATGGCGTCAGTCGCGAATTTGTACAGCGCTGTCCACGCAGCGTGGACTGAGGGGCGGCTTGAAAATGTTCTCGAGCGCCAAAAGCAGCTTGCCCTATTACACGGCAACGTCAAAAAGTCGTCCAAACAACTGATCGCAACCATTATGCAAGGTAGCTGAAATCTAGAACTTTCATTTCTCAGACTATTGACGTTGCTTTGCCCGCAGAATTGAAGTCCAGCGAAGAAAGCGCGGCTGCAGAGCTTCAACTGGTTCTCGAAAATATCAAACACCATTACGATGCCCTTGACTTCCCAGCGACGCTCACGAAAGAAGCCGCGGTGAGAAAAGGTTCCAGTAACATGGATAATAGCGTTCCTCTTGGCCCGACTTTGATCGACGCAAATCCGTTTGTACCGATTGCAAGCACCCTAATTCCGCTAGCTGCCGCCGTAGCAGCTGGTAGTGCTGTGTTGGTCCTGGCTCTTTCTGGGCTCCCTATTCTCAATACGGAGCTGCGAAGAATCATTTCAGCAAGTCTGGATGTTGAAGCCGTGGCAATTGCCCCCGACGATTCTAGCGATACTCGTGAGCAACTTTGTTCGATGCGCTTCGAGGTTGCTGTCCTCCAGAATTCGAGTCACTGGAATGATCTGCGGAATGGGCTCTTCATAACCAATCCCACCATCAGAGTCCATTCACCAGCAACTGGATTTCCTGCGGTCTTTGTGGATCGCAGCACGCGTGACGTCGAGGCAGTCGCAAAACATCTTTACCACGCAGTACTCTGTGCGCCTCGTCATAATCCTTCCAGAGTACCTCGACTTTGCTTCGTAGACGAATCGAAGGCGAAAGACCTAGAGAGCTACCTTGTTCGAGCTGGCCCAGCCTCGATTCGCCGCCTCGAGGTTGCCAAAGATTGGCAGAGCACGCCACAGCTTTGCAAACTCCTTCAAACAGTCTTCCCCTCTTTAGTGAACAAGGCAATCAGCCACGAAACCTTCGCTTCAGTGATTGCTCTAGAATCTTCAGAGTGAGTGCACCCATCCCAGAGCTTTCACTTCCACACCAGTATAGCTAACCCTGCGACTCTTAGCTCCATTACAGTAGACAGCATTGGTGCCGTGGCTCAGTCGATGGCTATGAGCGATCGTGGAATTCTGCTCATTCCAATCAGTAGCATGGATCATGGCATCGACATCTTGAACAAGCTGTGAGTTGAAAACCAATTATTCCAAGGAGACTCCTATGCCTCTGCTGACTTTTAGATACAGGAATAAAGCTGGGCCCTCAGAGATAGTATATGCTTTTGGCGACGGTAAAGCCGGTCTCTACGTCGGCTCATTCGTAAAGACGCTGCAGGTCTGTGTCAACGAAGTGCCTGAGTGGTCCCTAGGTAAGATCAAGATCGACCTCAAAACGATCGGCAGGACTTTCTAATCTAACCTGTCCATCCAGTTTTCGAAACATCGCCTTCATCGAAATCGAAATCAGACAAAATTTGGTACTCCCCCGAGGCCTTTTCTTTCAATAAGCCGATTCGGCAGGGGTCCCCAAAGGCTTCGCCGAAACCATCATCAGGACGGAATGTGCTGTGGCCAGTGCTCGCTCACACTCTGCCGCTAGGAAAGATCAAACAGCCGAAAGGTGGACGTCTTAGTTACTTTGAGCGAGGCCTACTCATAGGCTTAGCTATTGGACTGCTTACAATCACTGGAGCTTCAGTAGCTGTTCGGCGTGTTATTCAGAATTCTTTCAAGCGGCCGTAAAATGTACGACCGCAGCCTTTTGGTTGATATGTAGCAAGGGCAGTATGGTTACTGAACATTGCAAATGTAAAACGCGAAATGTCTATCCTCTTCCCAACTGCATAGGCCCCTGAGCGCAGGAAATGTAGTAACTCTTGTGAATATCGAGCGTAACTGGCATTGTCCGAATCAGGTCAAATGAGATAGAATATGTAGCACCTTTTGAGAACTCAAATCCACGGTAGCTAAATACCGATCATCCTCAACATTATCGCAGCGTCAACAAGTCAACCCCAATAGTCTGTATAACCCCCACACTGATACATGCGGGGCGGCGGCGGCATTTCATGCGTCTCAACCTTATCAATCCAGATGTCACCTGTTTCGCTATTGATGCACTCCCCGGTGCTTAGTAGAACGTGCCGGCGGTGCCGTGTGGGGAGCCGAGCTGAGAAAGGAATAGGTCTGGTACGGTTTCGGCTGATCCAACATCCTTTCGAGGTGTTCATCGCTCTAGAATAAGTGGAAGTGACCCATATCCAAACACATCCTGCCCATATTGGTGACTCATACACCAAGAAGTACGGGAGCGCTGCACACGACAGCAAGACATCCTGTCCCAGATTCCTGATATCATCACCAAGGTCAAACTATCATATCAACACAATGGGATTTTGGCCATACATCGGAACAATGGAAAACAAAGCCCAGACTCCTTTCCGGCGTATTGTAACCCACCACAAGAACGAGAAGTCCTCGATCCTGATAAATGAGGAGCTTCAGTTCGAGGATGGGTGGGGCAGCCAGGCCGTCACTATATGGAAAAACCAAGAGTATCCCGCCGAGTACCAGGGCGAAAAACCCGACGCCGTGCCGATCATCTACACCCACGGATCTTTAATCCGCGCGGTCGAGTTTCCTCCGCATTCTCAGGGACACAACCACAGAACAGCTTCTCTTGACTACGGGATAGTCATGGAGGGTGAGCTAGAGCTACTGCTTGAAGACGGATCACGAACTAGCTTACGGGCGGGAGATATTGTCGTTCAACAGGCAGTAGGTTATCCATTTGCGGTGTTTGACGTGTTGCTAATCGAATGCCAAAGACAATGCACCAATGGAACAATGTGTCAGATAAGCCTGCTCGCATCATATTCGTCCTCCTCCCAGGACAAAAGACAACCAAAGATGGCGTGGATGTTACGGAGAAGGGAGTGCCTGCCGAGCTGTTGCCCAAGAGAGGATAGGAATGTGAGCGTAGAGCAATAAATAGCAGAATGAGACTGGCCAATGTTAATTCGACGAGTGGAATAGTCTTCCACATAGTCACATAGGAAACCGTTTGCCATATGGTTTCATGAAAATGGTACCCAGTCTAGCTGCTGTCCTGGGTAATCGCGTAGGAGTCTACATGAGTACCACTTCCGTGATCACGTTATCCTGCTAGGGTGGTGCTGTGTCACTAGTACAATTCCCAAACACTTGGCCGGACCGATGGCCTGTCGGAGGTTCTATTGGGGATTATCATGCCTCCAGCTCTTCCATCTCAAGAACGACATGCGCTTGTTGCGAAAGACACATTTTGGCCTTGGGGCGCTGCCCATCAGCCTCGGGAAGCGGATACCCAAGTCGCACCGGAGGTGACATTACATTGAACCAACCCGAAATTCACTAGATCATGACAAACGGATCATTTAAAGATGCCTAGTGTGGTTGAAGGTGGCCTTGAGAGGATCTAGTAACTTTTGAAGTCTGAAGCAGAATCGTGAGAGAGGGAGAGAGAGACAGGGTGCATCAGTCATATTTCATCTATTTCTGGCACACAGGACTGAGTATATGCACAGTCAGTTACACTGGCCACACGTCCCAGTCTCATCACAAGACTCTTGATCCGACTGGGCTTCTCTCAGGAAGCCATAGAGTCAATTACACGGGTTACAAGATCCCTGTGAGGAACAGTCAGCAGCACAACACCATCGGACGCATACAGCTTGGGTCTACTTACGTATCCATATACGCCCGTACAGTTGCGACTTTGCCTTTCTCATTAAAGCCAAGGATCCAAGTATACTCGTTGGGGAACGGCTGTCCATTCTTGATCCGAGTTTTGACTGCTTTCAGCTCTACAGCCGCCTGGTTCCCACTCAGAATAATGTTCTGCACCTCGAGGTGCAGTGGCCCGGCCCAAGTTGCGGATAGAGGCTTTGTTCCCTCTTGAAATGCCGCTAGAGATTTATAGTGGCCGGATATCTCACAATGCGCTCCTTTGAATCCTTGTTAGAGAATCATCTCTGTACTTGAAGTACGCTTGGGCAATAACCTTTCACCGTCCAGTCCACATCAGGCTCTATGTTGGCAAGGAAGGATGCCATGTCGCCTTTGGCAAGCGGCTCGAACATCGTCGTGATTTCTTTTTCTGTAACCATTGTGGACAGTGGAGTTGAGAATAGGATTCTTGGGTATGGTCGAAATCTTGGTTGATACCAATTCAAGAAGCTGAGGCGCAGGTTTCAAACGCCAAAGTTTGTCTAAAGCAGACGAAAGGTCTGCCTGCTGCGGTTTTGAAGTCAGCAAAACTTCTCAGGTTAGCTGTGGATGCCGCTCACACTTTCCAATGGCGACATCTTAGGCCTCGTCGGGTAAATGTGATATCATCGGCTTTGTGGGGATGCCGAGCGGGGGTCGTTGGCACTCGAGTATCCAAGAGAGGTGAAGTAGCGGGGCCGAGCGGCTTATGCTCACCACCCACTCAGCTCTGCCACTGCAAGTTAGTCTACGGAACGACGCGCTGAAGACTTGGAAGACATGCAATAGGTTTGGCAGGGCGAGAGTAAGCCTTCCAAATGGCATAGCAATAGGAGTTACACACCATTCCCTATAGCCTAAGAAGAATACTTAGTACGCACGGTCTCGCTCAGGTGCATACGTGTAAGTGCTATACAAGGCCAAATTTTCTTCTTTCTCACTCAAAGCTGTGATTTCACTTGCCAAGTTCTCACTCCGAGAGAGTTCCTACGTCGAACATCACAATGCCTATTAACATCATCGTTGTCGGGGCTGGAATTGGGGGTCTTGCATGCGCCATCTCTTTGACGCGTCAAGGTCATCATGTTGAGGTATGTAGTGTATTCCTCCAGTGTTGAGTCATAATGATGATAATAACGTGACTACAAGCTCTTCGAGCAATCCACGTTTCTCAACGAGATAGGTGCTGCGATCCACCTTCCGCCAAACGGCTCTCGAGTATTGAAAGGATGGGGATGCGATTTTGACGATCTGAATTACGTTTACTGCAACAGCATCACGACTTACGATAAGTCGGGCAACTTCAGATTCGTCGCCATTGTAAGTTTTCAGTTGTAACGTGTAGGAAGAGCTAAGAAACGTGAACGTTCGTAGGCCACTAAGGATATGCATCAAAAGCTCAATATTCGTGACGAGTGGCTCTTGACTCACCGAGTCGATTTGCACAATACCCTTCGGAAGATAGCTGATACCGAGCCCTACGGGCAAAACCTCAATATTAATCTTCACAGCCGTGTTGTATGGGCTGTAAGTTTCATCGCCTCCTCTTGCCTGCCGATTGTTTCTTGTCCTCTCGGTATTTGCATAGCTAACCATGCTTTCGACGCATAGGATTCCGAAAATGCCGAAATTCTCTTGGAAGATGGCACCAGGTACAGGGCAGATCTACTTATCGGTGCTGATGGGGTACACGTGCGTTTCGAGGCCACTTTGCGCGTTCCGTTTTGGAATGATCACTGACGCATATCCCAACGATCAGTCGAAAGTCGTTTCTGCGGTGACGCTAGAGCAGCCGAAGCGCAAGTCTACAGGACAGAATACCTTTCGATTCTTAGTCTCAATGGACAAGATCAACGCTAGCCCTCTAGCGAGGCCTTTCTTCGAGGATTTGGGTCTGGATGATCAACATGTCTTTCTGGGAGCCGATCGTCGCTTGGTTGTTTATCCCTGCCGATCCAAAACTCTCCTCAATGTTGTCGCCATCCATCCTGCTGAGAACGACAGTCTAGAGACCGAATCTTCCTGGCTCTCGGGCGGCAATATGGAGGATTTGCTGCACACATACCGAGACTTTGGACCGGAGCTGATTGAGATGTGCCGCCTGGGAGAAGATTTGAAACTCTGGAGTCTGGCAACGCGTGAGCCCCCGAAGACATTTTACCGAGGCAAGACAGTCTTGGTTGGTGATGCAGCCCATCCAATGCTTCCTCGTATGTCTCGTCACAGCTTTCATTATTGAGACTTTGCTGATGGTAAAACGCAGATCAAGGCCAGGGTGGCGCACAAGCGCTTGAAGACGGCGCGGCTTTGGGTGCCCTATTGCCATACGACACCTTGTCCAGTCAGGTCAACCGAAGACTACAGCTGTTCAACAAGGTCAGATATGCGCGCACAATCACTGTCATGGTCATGTCAAGCACCAGTGACGATAGGCGTGCCGAGAAGATGCCAGAGCTCCAACGATACGTCCCCGATGCTCGCCTCCCAAAAAACATGTTTGAGTATACGTGGAGTTCGTACGCCACGCTCGAGGCTCGGAGGGCTTTGGAAGAAGATTTGGGAGCGAGCTTTGGACCTTCTGCTAGGCTTTGAATTTGGTCGACTTTTTCGCATAATTATGATCATGAGTGAGATGTTTGTAGCGTAACACACATTTCTGGAACCACTTCGCTATGGGTTTTACTTCTTAAGGCTCTCTCGTTAAAATTTGACTACTTCAATCCGAATTCATGGTGTGAAGGACTTGAAATACTCTCATTCTGAATTATCTCCCCAAACCAAAAGGATAATTTATTTTATTTAAGATTCGCAATGCTTGATGCTTCTTGAACTCATTGGTACCATAAGATATCATCCGTAGGCGCGCATTTCAACATGCGTCAATAGTGAATCCTACAAATCATACTGATGTGGCAGCTTAGAGACATCGTCACCACAGCCGGAGGCGAACTCTTGAACCAATTGAGCCAGAATAGGCGCTGGGGGACTCGCTTTGATCTCGCCCTTGCCGTGGGGCCGCTGTCAGTCCGACAGAGGTGGGGACATCGGCACTCCACCCCGGCCCGACCGACGGAATGCAGTGTTCCGAGGTAGCCTGGTAAAGCCATTGCAATTCTCCAATACCGCACGGAGATAGCGGCCTTTACGTTTGGGTGTGCCTTCTATGTTGATAGGAATCGTCTCATGCTAATTTCTGAAAGCAAAGGCTGAAATCCGAGAAAGACTTCGTCCCTAGCGGCTTCAACGACCCATGCGATCCCAATCAATAACGCAATAATTTGAGAGTGCAATCATGGCCAACGCCTTCGAGCAACAAGATGATACCTTTTCTCAGGGGAACCTACAGAGGGATCGATTTATCGATATGGATCATTCCAGCATACCTCAAGAGAAAGAAGAATGGCCCGTAATCATAATCGGGTCGAGCATGGTGGGAAAGGCGCTGGGCTTGCTATTGGGATACCATGGGTGATAAACTGCTATTGTGATTCTCGTGTTCAACCAGGAGCTAATCATTGCCAGGATCAAATCGGTCTCTTTTGATCGACATGCGTCCGAGAGTTCTCAACCTCGCGCAGCGGGGCTAAGTTTCCGGACTTGCGAAATCCTACGACAGATCGGGCTGGAAAACTTTGCCCGCGAGCAAAGCAGTCAGCAATTCGATTCAAATGCCGGGATACTTCTTGCAGACAAGCTCGTAGGTGGCAATGTCATTCAAGTACTCCAGAAGCACGACCCAGATATCACGAAGCAAATCACGCCGTCTTCTTGGATCTGGATGGCGCAGAGCATGTTTGAACCCATCCTTGGTTCGCATGCGAGTGATTTCGGCAGTACTCAGCTTTACAGCCAAGAGGTCCTCTGCTATGAGGAGGACAAAGATGGTGTTATCGTCGTTGTCAAGAACCATAAGACGAACGAGATAAGGAAGTACAAGACACCATACTTAGTTGCATGCGATGGCCACCGGAGTCCGACTCGTCATAAAGAAGGCATCAGGTGGGAAGGGCCAGGAGTTCTGCGCAACAGCTTCAGTGTTGGTTTCAGATCTGATCTAGGCCCTTTTGTCAAAGAAAGATTGGTTCATGGCGTCGTTTACGTCGCTAATGATAAAATCAACGGTGGTTTCCGTTTGGATGATGGGGGCAGACAAGGCCTTCTGATGGTAAACAGCGTTGGCGAGAGGTCAGACTTTCCTCCTGGCAGTGTGACTGTCGAGCAAGCCAGAAAAAGCTTTTACGACTGCGCGGGGCTTCGACCGGATGAGGTCTTCGTCGACATGCATACTGTGAATTATTGGACAATGGCGTCTTATACTGCCGATCGAATGGCTAGTAAAACCGGCCGCGTGTTCCTCGCTGGAGACTCTGCTCACGTTATGCCACCGACCGGAGGGCTGGGGGGGAATACGGGTATTGCGGTAAGCCTCTTAATTTGAATGAGTTCCAAAATCTGACACATGCGCATATAGGATGCTCACAATTTAGCTTGGAAACTGGCCTACGTCTTGACAGGAAGGGCCTCATCCTCGCTCCTGGACTCATACAACAAAGAGAGGCATTTCATTGACGAATTTACCGTCAATCAAGCAACTGCTCGCTTTCAGAATCGGGTCGCACTCCAACAACCACCGGCGCCAGAGGCTTCTGACGTCTCAATGGAGCTGGGATACCGCTATTCAAGTGGGGCATTCGTCCATGAGGAGAGCTATCATCAGCCCGATGAACTTTACGATGATCCGCACTACCCAACGGCTTTCCCTGGTTCAAGATTTCCTCATGTTTTCTTGGAAGACGTTGGAATACCGGGTAGACAAATCTCGACATTGGATCTTGTCCGAAAGAACTTCTTGGTGGTCACTACTCAGCCGGATTCACCGTGGGTCGCAGCGGCGAAAAGGATTAAGACAGTTGAGATCGACGTTGCTGTCTTGAACGCGCAATCTGCCCCATATAGAGACGCATCTGGATTGGTCGAGGAGAAGTGTAGATTACGAGCTGGTCAAGCCATTCTTATCCGGCCCGATGGCTTTATCGCATGGAGGGCAATCGCGAGACAAGACAATCATAAGAGGGTATTGCAACACACGCTTCGAAGCATCCTGGGAATTTCTGCCATTCAATCTATGATCTAAATACTTGTAATTAAGAAAGTTTTGTTTCAATGAGATGTCTCTTGGTAACTCTGGATAATACCTTATATATGGGCCGTCTGACTACAACAGGTACGGGAAACTTACCCATTTACAGTCATGGATCATTTCTTCTTACTAGTATCGAGACAGCATTCAACACTACAGTCCATTGTCTTCTTGACGCAAAGAATATCGATTTCGATATGCGAGATGCGGAAACCAATCAATGAGGGTTGATTCGAAGCTCGACACTCGTTCATCCAATGACGGGATCGCTCAAAATACACACTGTTGATTGAAAGTGCGTCTTGCGACGAGCTTCAGCTACCTAATGAACAATCGCAGGGGTAAAAGTCTCATTCATTTCAAGTATATATGCCTACTTAGAGATCGGATCCGTTAATGGCAGAACAAGATAACTTTTAGTTTCACCACCAAAGTGAATAGTATGGCGTCCCTTATTCCGATGAGAGGCGCCATACAAGTGAGGAAACTCCATATAGCTCATGTAATGTCCGGAGACCTTGAGAGTCAACGACTCCCCAGGGCCGTAGATTATTCCCGTCGGCCAAATCGGAATCTCGAGTTTGGTGACTGTACCAGCAGGAATGGCTTTTCTCGAAGTGTTGGTGTACTCGGGCCAGTCTCCGCTGAAATTATTGGTGTTCTTCACTTTGGTGACTGCATGACTTCCTCGGAGGGCCCCAGTTGGCCCAAGATACTTCAGGAAGCATGAGTCCGCCACCTCAGAGGGGCTCTTGGCAGGCGGTACCAAATCCTCCAAGGGTACGTTCATGTTGATGAGCTGCTGGCCAGAGACATCGGATTTTCCGAGTTGCACAAAGACGTCGATGTCGTCTTGACTTTCGTTGGCTATGTTGAGGACAATCCACGAATACCCAAGGAGCCAAGTCTCCTTGGTAAACTTGTAACTGAAGAATAGCTCCTCATCGCCCTGGAGAGGTCCATTCTTAGGAGCAAAGGTTGCGTCATATGATGCAGTCCCGGTACTTTTGGATGGCACTAGTTCGAGCTTTTTGTCATGTCCCAGGTAGAGCGTAGTCCGTGCAATGGCAGACTCTGGGATTGGGTATGACGGAAAAGGAATATTGACAACATTAGGCTGCACGTTCTAGTCAGATATTGCAATCTTCTACGATTGAAGGCCCTCAAATGTCTTCCAAAACTTACTTTGTTGAAACCTAGCAGTGAAACCCGCACAGAAGGCGTACTTCTCCAATCGTTTTCCTTCCCTTTGACGAAGTAGTCGTAGAACTTTGTCAAGTTATTGACGTTCTCTGGGTCATACAAATCCGACCATTCCTGCTTAGGGTGAATCCGAAGCCTGCGTAATTGTTCAGTAATGCACTCCACAGGCCAGACAGTCTCCGTACTTACCACTTGTCCTTCGACGAAATGTGGTTGTACCCTCGAATCGAACCGGTGGTGTGGAGGGCGCTGGAGTAGCTCGCCAAAACATAGGTAGGCACGTCGATGTTCTCCAACTTCGCTCTCTTATCTTCCCAGTAGTCGTTGTATAACGGATACTTTTCCAGCATAGGGATGGGAGCCTCCGTTCCCATGCGACCAACCATGGTGTCTTGTAATAATCCCCACATGGCATCATATGGGTACGGTACTCCGCCTCGGCAAAGGGTATCTCGATAAAAGTCCGAGTTCCCTTCCCATGGCGCAATCGCGGCTAACGATGGTGGTCGCTGGGCTGCGATTACCCACTGTACCATGGCGAGCCAGCTGTTGCCTCCAAAAGCAACCTTGCCCGTGCACCAGTCGAGCTTGGCGATGTACTCGACTGCGTCGTACCCATCTTTGCCATCTTGATCTCCCAGCCATCTTTGATAACTGAAGTTAGTTTGGTACACCGGGGAATATTTGAGGGCGGACAAAGACGAGGGAAAGTTGAAAGGAAGGGCAAGCTACTCACGGTGTAATGCCCTCGGAATCCCAAGAACCCCGGAGGTCTACATTTACAATGGCATAGCCTCTCGCAGTCCATGTTGCGGGGTCTAAACCTTCGAACTTTTCGTAGCCAGAGACTTCTGACATTGGAACCCCGAAACGGCCGGCTAGCATACCTAAACCATGGGGACCTATTCGGAATCTTAGCAATAGACTTCTTGTACCGAGAACAGGTCGCTCTTACCATTGCCCGACTTGCCGTAGGGGCTCCAGATGAGGATTGCCGGCACCTTCTCCGCAGTGTCGGGACGGAAAACGTCACAGTAGAGCTTGATGTCGTCTCTCATTGGCATTGCAACATCTTTTTCGAAGATTGTATCGACCTCAAAGGCCTTATTCTCTACTGTTCGGCGGTGTTCTTTGGGCAGCTTCCGAGTCGACGGGTTGAATTCGTCATAAACACCCGCAGCCTCATGTTCAGGAGGCACGCTTGGCTTGACTTCAACGTTGAACCCTGCTATTTGGAGAGACATGCTGA